AGAGAGCTTTGGCGGGGGAGGAATCCATGGTTGGAGTGGGCGGAGAGAGATCGGAGGCGGACAAATGCGGCTATGGCCGGGGCAGCGGCTTATATAGCAAGTGTGCAGTAGAGGGATGGACGAATGGCACCGGAGGAGACGTCTCGGCAACCGTGTTCCATCAATGTGGGCGGCAGACGGACGGATGAGCAACCGCCGTGTTGTTTGAACGCACGGCAGTCGCTTGCACCGGGAAGCGGTGGATGAAGCTCTCTCGGCGGGCGCGCCGCTTCAACGTCTTTCTAGTCTTAGTCTGTCTATTTGGTCGTATTTTAACTTGGTACGATTGCTAAACTTCAAATAGTGCGAACATGGTTGGCTATGTGCATTCTAGTTATGCAGAGGTCGAGCATGTATTCGATTTTTGTTGTTGGATATTATAGTCATTGTCTTTTCCTTCTTTAGATGGAGATATATGTCTTTTTCTTTTCTTTTTGATGTGACATTATGAATGAATAGAGTACCTTTTAGGACAACTCCAACGCAAGACCCCGAATGGCCTGTCCGTGTCCGTTTGGGGGTAAACGGACAAAGCAGGCCCTCCAACGCGCGGCTGCAAACAGACCGTCGTCCGTTTTCTGTTCGCTTTCGACCAATTCCCGGCTCAAGTTTGAGCCGAGTTTGCGGCCAAACGGACAGCACGAAGACGGGCGGGATGCGCTGCCTAGTCCTCCCCCGGTCCGCCCGTCGGTGGCCGATTCTCTCCCTTTTCTCCAAAATGCTCCCGCGCCCTAGCCTTCCCCCCTCCCTCCATCCACCATGGCCAACGAAGCGAATCCTGGCAACCCACCGTGGCAAAGAAAAAGAGGCCTGTGAAGAAGCCTCGGTCGAAGCTCACGCCAGCGGAGGCCGCCAAGCTCGACACCGAGTCGGCCAAGAGGAGGAACCGGTGAATTGTCGCGGCGGAGAAGAAGGCCGCTGCTGTGTACACTGCCGAGTGTGCCCTACTGTGTAGTTGCAGCACCAGGCCGACCTCGACCACAAGGAGTCCATTGTCTCCAAGGCGCACGCCCTCCTCATGTTGGGTATGAGCCGCCCCACGCCAGCCAATCTCTCGGCCGCTGCCATGGCCGTGTCCAGCATAGGCTCCTCGGTCCATTGTCCGCCGCAGCACCGTTCCCCGAGCTCGTCCGTCACACATGAGACGCCGGATGTTCGTGCTCCGCCACTGCACAACCATGGGCAGACACGATTCTCTATGTCGATGGACTGCGTCGTGGTCGATCAGACCACGCCCGCGTGTGTCATCGACCTCAACATCACGCCGGGGTACAGTGGCGCTGGCCATTGTGAAGACGGCGCGCAAAGGAAGCAGCCTTGGTCGTTCGCTTTGGCTCACATGGCCGGCGCCCGCGAGCTGTTCGACGAAATGCCACCACCAACGCAGACGACGACGGTCGACGACCCTTACTATGCCTCGTTCATGCAGAACGTCATCTACGAGGGCCGTGGTGAGGCGTTCCAAATCAACGGCCAAGAGCAAACTTTTGATCCCGACGCGACCCAAAGCCAGGATGGCCGCGGTACCTATGATGATACTCAGTTCGCCGGCCATGATGATGGTGATGAGGGCGACTATGGCAACTCATGACATGAATATGATGACTTGTATCGTGAAGATGAAGAAGAAGAGGTTGACATTTCTGCTAAGTCATTGTTGTTTATCGACGAGCTCACCCAAAAGGCTGAAGCACAAAAGAGGAGGAAAAGTATTCGCACGGGATCATATAGTCAAGCTGAGGACACCTTGATTTGCGAGAGTTGGAAGGAAATCGGCCAAGATCCAATCAAAGGTGTCGAGAAAAAAAGAGCCATCTTTTGGACAAGAGTTCACAAGAACTTTCATGAGCGAAGAAAGTTTGCACCCTACCAATTCACAAGCACCCACGGCATCAATTCAGTCCAAAAAAGATGGAGATTCATCCAACAAGAATGCAACAAATATTGTGTCACGCTTGAGAGCGTCAAAGCCCGTCTCGTGAGCGGCCTAGGCCTTGGTGACTTGGTATGAACCTCTCGCTTTTCATCATGCGTCCATTGATGTTGGCATGCCGTATTAATTTCATGCATTGTATATCCTTTCATGTTACATTTGTGGCCGCATGTTTGATTGTGTAGGCATTCCAATCTTTGAAAGCGTCAAGGCCCGACAGAAAGATAAGTCATTCACTCTCACACATTGTTGGGTGCTCATCAAAGATTGCCCCGGGTTCAAAGACCAATACAACGCTCTTAAGAAGAAGAGAGGAGAGAAGCCGGTTGTGGCTGATGAGGGAGACATGCTCAAGAGGCCGAGTGGCAAGACAAGCTTGAATGCTGACGAGAAGCATGATGCGTCTTCTATAGCCTTGCAAGGAACTTTGGAGAACATGATGAGCCAAAAGGAAGTGCGGGAGGAGAGGAGGAGCAAAGGGAAGGAGGAGCAAATTAAGATATACCTAGATCTTCAAACGAAGAAGCCTGACATGGAGGAGGGCCGTGAAGAGGAGGAAGCTTGACATCGAGGAGGCCGCTCCACTCAAGAAGCTAGAGACCGAGGCCACCAATGCCGACACAAAAGCCAAGGAGGTGACACTGGCATTGATGAGCGTCGACAAGAACAACATAATGTCACCGGAGAGGAAGGCTTGATTCACGAACCGGCGGAAGAAGATGTTCGCCCGCGACGACATAAACTAGGTGAGACCTCGGCCGCGATAGTCATTGTCTTGTTTTATTTTTGATGGATATATAGCCATTGTGTTAAGTTGGTTGACGTGAGTAAAGCACTTGTCAAAAGAAAGAGGCAAATAGTACACGCAGCTTGGACGCATCCGCATCCCATCCATCGGGACGGTGGTGCACGGGTGGTTTTTCCTTGCTTTCGACAGCGTGCACGGCGCATGGGTGGTGGCTCACGGTTGGTACGAGTAGGAGCTAAGATAAATAGCTCGATGGGTAGCGGTAGCAGTGGACGTGACAGTGCTGCCCGGGCCGGCCGGGGGTACTACACTCCACACGCTCCACACAGGGAGATGGAGATGGAGGAGACGGCAATGCGTCCTCCCCCCCGGACCCGCTGCATATGTTTGTACAGTGCCCGCGTACGTACAACCTCGCACCCACTGTACTCGCACCAAACTGTTTCCACCTCCAATGGCAACCAAATTACCACCATATATCCCTCTCACCCCGTCACGTAGTACGCCCTCCGTGAATCGAGGAGAGTTTATATACACGCGTATACGCTCATCCCTATGAACGCACACACGCACACCATACTCTATGAGCACCTCCGAAAGTTTGAGTCGGCATATCATATTGAAATTTACAAAGTCCCTCTAACCATCCAACTGCAGGTTGGTTCGCTAGTACGATACATACGTTAGTTATTAGTAATGCTACATATACATAGGTTTGCGGTGGTTTTACAGGCAGGATCGAGCTTAATTAATCGTTGGGAAAAGATTCCAGTTCCTAATCACAACTCCTACTAGGTAGTTGGAACTTGGAACCTAAGTTTGTACGTACCACAAATATTAATAACAGTAAAAAATTACAGTGAGAGACAGTCCGTACGCCGGGCGCGTATATACACATACATATATTTGCATGGCCCTTGGTGAATCGAAAAACCAGTTCGCAGCCAACGGGAATCACGCACGTGCCGCGCATGTGTCCCGTACGTCCATGCACGCGTCGTCCATACCGCGCGGTGAAACTACTTACCATGCAGTAACAAACCTGCTAGAGTACCAGTAAAAGAAAAAGGATATACAAACACAGTGCGTTGAATCTTCTTTCTTTCTTCCTTCCTTCCTTCTAGAGTGAGCCCTGCATCTGCATGGCAGCGGTGCATGGCCGACGGCGGACGGCGACGGGTCAGGCCCAGCTGGGAGATTAAGCGAACATTTGGTCTACTGATTGGCTTGACTGAATCGGGCGAGCATGAGCGAGGGGACCATGCTAGCTAA